ACGACTGGCCAGTGGTCGGCGAGGTCGACGACGGCGCCGAGGTCGCGGAGCGCAGCGAGCTCGGGCGATAGCATCTCGTCTGACAGCGCTGCAAGGAAGGCGGCAACGTCGCGTCCATCCTTCAGCATGGCGAGGATGCCATGCAGCACGACATATGGCAGGCTCGGCGACGTGGCACGCTGGCAGACGCGCTTGGTCATCGTTGCTCGTGCTAATTTTGACCGCGACCCTCTACCATTTTATACGTTTCGTATCGAATGTGGAGGGTATGACGTGGCGCTTGGATATTCCAGTAGAGTGCACATACAGTGTACTACATGTATAGATGACCCGAACGAGGACGAGCAACCTGCAAGGCAGCCAGTGATGGTTGTATATGGACGCCGAGCTCGCGTATGGCAATGCGCGTCCATACGCAAGGGACTCGGAGCCGCTTCTTTCGCTCTACGAACACAGTATATGTAGAGAAGGGACGCTTGGGCGGGGGAAGAGACTATCTCATTGGCCACTAGTCCTCTCGGGGTCAGGTGTCTCGGGGTAGCTTCGAGGCGATACCGCCAAGTGCATAATGACAATAGTGCTGGCTGGCTATCTGGTTATCGCATCGATCTGGTGCGTAGTACATTGGACGTTGAGTATTTCCCGATCACATTGGTTGAAATTTGTTGTGTCAGTGTTGACAAGGGCATTCCCGTTTTGTTGGGTCCAACACTCCATTTCTGCAGAAATGGGCGGATTCGAATCGCTGCTCAAGAAAATGGTCACGTGGGGAGCGCATATCCGGAATTTCGGTTTTTGTTTGCAGCAACGGTACTTTTCATGTTAATTGTACTATCCCGCAGTAAAGCGTTTACTCGTACTAATCTTTCGCCTTTTACTAAAGATTACCGTGGACGTCTTACAAACCATGCGGCTTCACCAATTTCTGACCTCCCTCTGGGAGGACCCCCCACTCATCACTCTTTTTCCATGACCTCTATTATTGCATTGCTCTGCTGCGACTTGCACCAATGTTGTCATGACAAGAAGCGATCCAGCATTTAGACTAGGAGGAGATCATGAAGAAATGGGGTTGATGGTTTGATGACGTGGCGCGCTGGTAGACGCGCGTGGGCATTGGTAAATTTTGTGTGTTTGCCGCCTACAAAGCGTCCAAAGACAGGTTGCTGCCACATTGCAATGGGTCCCCGACAGCCTATCTCGTCTGCTCCATCGCTCGTGTTGACGCAAGCACAGTGAGCACGAGTCCAACGTGTTAAAATTCAGTTAAATCAATTGCGTCGCCGACGACGTCTGCGGCGGTGCCATGAGGACGCCGGGGCGCAACAGCACGAGCTTGTGTAGCTGCACAAGGCTGGGAAGCGAATTTGTGAAGCCGGTTGTGTCCACATGCAATGTGACGTTGCGGCAGGCACTCAGCGCACCGAGTAGCAGCTTCATGGACGCGGTAGCCAGAGGATTCAAGTCCAAGTCGACTGTCAGATGGCGTCGGCTCTTCCTGGATGCGAGCGCGACAGCCAACGGTTCGACGTCGTCGTCACGGAGGCCCGTCGCCCGAAGCGTCAACGTCTGCAGGCCTCTCGCCATCCACGCCGGCAGCGCTTTGGCCAGCGCCGCAAACCCAGCGGTTCCGATCTTGGAGTAGCTCAAGTCGACAGTGGTCAAGCAGCGCGAGGTTGAGAGCAGCTGCATGAGCCAAACCACCTTACTCGGCGTCTTGAACGTCGAGCTGCGCACAACGACAGTCCACAAGTGCGACCAGCCGTCGGTCGTCGTGGTCGGAGACAGCCCATCGACGTTGACAAGACGCAGCTCCTGCAGCGCAGCATATTTGGCTCGGGCGGTTCATCGTTGTCGTTGTCGTTGTCGTTGTCGTTGTCGTTGTGGCGGTAGACACGTTCAAATGTAAACGAGGGGACCTTAGTGCGATCAAGCTTTCGGACGAAACCAAGTGCGCCCTCAGCGAGACTCGAATCAATGACGGTGAGCGATGTCACGTGCTGCAAGGTCCCGGGCGATGCCACCAGCGCTTTCTTGAACGTTTGGTGTGTACAAGAGGATCAACGACCGTAGCGTAGCGCATGCTTGGATCGCATCGGCGAGCGCCGACGGGTCGGACACCGAATGGCACCCGAGTAGAAGCGACGTCGCATGCGGTTCTTGGAGCCATGCAGCCATCGCAGACGTGTCCATTGGACCGTCTGGGAAGGCAGCTACCTTGAGAGTATGCAGTTGTCGCTTCGAAAGCGCTGCCATGTACGTTGCCGTGTCGGATGGCGTGGCGCCTTTGAT